CCCCCCCCCCCCCGTCCTCGCCTGACAACAATGCATTATTATCTAACAAAAAAAGAATTCTTTTGGGTGTACAGTAACGCAACAGACCACACACAGCAGGTGGGGCCCGCCATTTTTTGTAACATTTATATACGAATTAAACTAAATGAACATAATGGTTGACATAGTGATTGACCGACCACTCACATTGCATGTGGATCTCGACCTGAATTAAATAATGCTGACCTCCCATGTGTGTGTTGTATCATCTCTTATATCAAGTATTATGTTTGTGTAACAGAACTCTTTAAATACACCGTGGAATCCACTGTTTTAGTCTATTTTGACCAATTTCTGATGCTTCTTCTTCAGTGCAAATGGGAAAAGCCAACAAAAAATAAATGAAGTAATTGCGAAAACTGGGGGGACTTTGTGCAACCCCCTAGGCCTTTCTCCTCTCTCCTCTCTCCTCGCAAAAGTCTCTTTGACCATCGCCGCCACCTGCGCTCGTTCTTCCCTCCTTCCTTCCATCTTCCACCTTCTTCATCTAATATTTTACTGTGTAATGATTTCACACTCTCCTCTCTTATAATAATAACATCCCTTTATTTTCTATTAATCCATGGTCGTGGTTTCACGTGACCATTCATAGTGATCTTGAAAAAAAAAAAAATCTGAATTTTTGACAAGGGTTCGGATCCATTTGTTATCTGGAAATGGGTATCTGTTTTTCCGCCACCAAAGTTAGTGGTTCAAATAGCAACACTTCTTCAACTACCGCGAACAACCACCTGCACCGCCGCCCCGGAACTGACTGCACCGCCTCCGCCAGTAATCCAGCCTCCACAACCACCACTAGCGTTACGTCAAGAAAACAAGGGGTTTCTCGTTATAATCGTCATAAAACAAAAGGTCATAGTAATCAACAAAAGAGGAATATTCCACATATTGTTCAGAATAGTTCAAAAAGGCCAGGTGGAATCATCCCTTGTGGGAAAAGAACAGATTTTGGGTATGATAAAGATTTCGATAATCGGTATACTATTGGGAAATTATTGGGTCATGGCCAATTTGGTTATACATATGTTGCAATTGATAAGTCAAATGGAGATCGTGTTGCCGTGAAGAAAATTGAGAAGAATAAGGTCATCCTTTTTCTACCATTGTTATCACAATCATTTTGTTTTTATAGATTCATAGGAAAATTGAGTTCAATAGGCTGCATTTTGTTGCTCTTTTAATCTATCGGCATCATTTATATTTCTGCGAAATTTGTTTTATTAGTGGCAATTGGTATGGGATTTGATTTTTCTTGATTGGTCAATTTTCTGGGTTGTATGGTTTATGCTGTGCTTAAATGTTTAAGACTTATTCCATGATAGATATATATTATGGCCATGGTAAAGTTTTGATCTTTTTGCATCTTAGGCAACAAAAAGAAGCTCCATATAATGATATTTCTACTTTATACATTATTCAAGGTAGGTTTATTAGGCGATTCTATTGGTTTATTTAAGTAAACTTGCATGTCCAAATTTTCTTGATATTGTTTCTTATAATTAAGACAAGTGGCTGCTCCTTCAGTAGAACTTGATCTCTCTCAAATGTGAGGTTTTGCTTTGGTTTTTGGATCTTTATAGCAATCTTTTTGAAAATCATAAAACAAGCCTTGAATTCCTTGAGCTGTGCCAGAATTCTGCTATTCTGTGGTTTAATATTTGTGTGGGGTAGGAAACTGTATTTGTGAATATGGTAGGCTTGCATTTGAAAGGTTAATATAAAGGGAGAGGGTTTTAGTTCCCCGATATTCTAGCTAATAAATAAAATTTTCCAATTTTAAAAGAAATGCGGTAATTATCAAAACAATATGCATAGCCCTCAGTTAACTAGGTTTTCAGAAAAAAAGCTCAATTGTAGGATATGTCAAGCAATGCAGTTCCAAGATGGATGTGTTGTTGCCTTTTTTTTTTAAAGCTGCATATTTTCTTGAAAACTACTTGATGACTTAAAGTGCCTTCGAAGTAGAAATTTCCGACTTATGGTTGTAGTAATCATGCATATCTGGCAGATGGTCCTTCCCATTGCTGTAGAAGATGTCAAACGAGAAGTCAAGATATTGAAAGCTTTAGCTGGTCATGAGAATGTTGTTCAGTTCCATAATTCATTTGAGGATGATTCTTACGTGTACATAGTAATGGAGTAAGTTCTTCGAACGTCCATTTTGTTGCTCCAAATCCTTTTTTTTTTTGTTTTTTGAATTCCTCCTGCAATGAGTTGTATGAGTTGAACATGGTATGAATGGATTGTTCTCAACATTTTTCTATTTAGGTTATGTGAGGGAGGTGAATTGCTGGACCGCATTTTGTCAAAGTAAGCATACCCCATTTTTCCATTTAATAGGATTTGTAGGCTGCATGGCATGTTGTATCATGTATGCTATGCATATTCTTTCGAATTGAGAAGTATTATTCCAGGACTTACCTATGATTTCCTTTAATCAGAAAGGACAGCCGGTACACAGAGAAAGATGCGGCAATCATTGTAAGGCAAATGCTAAAAGTTGCAGCTGAGTGTCATTTGCACGGTTTAGTACACCGTGACATGAAACCAGAGGTATGCTTAGAGAATCAGAGGTTATCAGTATGTTTGAAAGGGAATTTGGTGCTTTGACATACATTTTTCCTGTGTAGAATTTTCTATTCAAGTCACCAAAAGATGATTCATCATTGAAGGCTACAGATTTTGGTCTTTCAGACTTCATTAGACCAGGTAATCGGGTGTTTAGTTTTGTTATTTGTTGGATTAACATAACTTCAAAATTTTTAAGTCCAATCCAATTACATATTTTTAAGGTAAATGCACGTGGACGTATATACATCTTCATTTTTATGCACACCACTAGTCGTCTGAATGACTAGACTAAGCTGTATACTACCGTCCAAGCATTTCAAGATCTTCATGCACCTGCCAATTGTTATTTTTATTATTTTATCAGGGATTTTCATTTGTTTCCCATTCATTATGAACTCTCAATATTTATTCTTTATGCAGGAAAGAAATTCCAAGATATTGTTGGGAGTGCATACTATGTTGCTCCAGAGGTATTGAAGCGTAAGTCAGGTCCTGAATCTGATGTGTGGAGTATTGGTGTAATTACTTACATTTTGCTCTGTGGCCGGCGTCCCTTCTGGGACAAAACTGAGGATGGCATATTTAAAGAGGTAAGTACTGCATTTAATTCTTGGTGCACGAGTTTGAAATAATGGATAATCCTTGAACTTTCTCTGGACAATTGAATTCCATCTCATGATGTGTGCATTAAATTTTCTTTGCAACTCTCAGATTTCATTGATTTTGTCCTCAAATTTCATTAATGGGCTTGCTTTTGGATCCTCAACCTCGGATAAAAAAGAACAAGTCAATAATAAGTCTTGGCATTGAGTTTTATCTTCATCATAAAAAGAAGTTTTTTTTTTTTTTCTCTCTCTCTCAAGGTTTCAAGTATTTTGACATGTCCCACCTCATTATTTGTAGGTCATTTGCATTTCTCGACTTAGGCATATTTTTGTGGACTTGAGCATATTTGAATTTCACATATTTGGTTATTCTTTGATTATAACAGTATATATGATATTTAAAGGTTCTAAGAAACAAGCCTGACTTTCGGCGAAAACCATGGCCAAGCGTAAGCCATGCAGCTAAAGATTTCGTGAAGAAGTTATTGGTGAAAGATCCTCGTGCCAGACTTACTGCAGCGCAGGCGTTGTGTATGTATTTGTTCTTCTTAAAGGCTATATATGCTTATAATTTACGAAAAATGGGTCTATTTGTATCAAGTGGTTTCAGAATGATTCCTACAATAATTGTGTGAATTTAAGAGGGCAAGGGTGATTTTATTCAGACCAATTTCTACATGTGTGTATAAAGTGGTCTTTCCTCCACGTTTATTTGTAGAGGCCAAACATGGTCTTTAGGTTTTTACGTTGTGAAAACAAATGGATATCCTTCTTCCTTCATTTACCGAGGGTTTAAAAAGGATGATGACAAGATTGATAGGATTAGCTTTATGCCCTGGGTCGAGATAATGAATCAAATTCTGACCTGAACAGATTGATGTTTTGGGATGACCTCACGAACGAACTTTAATGCTGTCCAATGTGCTAGTCTTAAAAACTAATGCAAACTAGATGTAGTTTTGGATATCAATTAATTAGTATGACCTCATAAGCTTCCTTACATGTGCATTTGCAAGATGATAGAATACATTTTGATGCTAGGAATGCTATCCATCTGATGTTTGGTTTTGGGATAGTGGGATCACATACATTTGGTGAAAACTAGGATAGCAACATTTTACAATCGATTGCATGGAAAGCTTGCTAATGAACAACAATAAACTGATCCTTATTCCAATGGATCAGCTATACGACTCCTTACCTATTCAACCCATCAATACTCTGCTAGATTACATTTACTAGAAGACATAAATCACCTTCTCAACCACATCAGGCCTTGGTTATTCTCATCTAATCCCTCTTCTAACCTGCTCTACTGGATCGGATCATTTTTTTTTATTGGGCTCTTTAGGTCTATGCTAGACGTGCCACAACCACATAGGTTGTCCTTAAATTTATCTTTAATCAGTATCACTTCATTCTTTGGCAGATAATCTCATTTCTTATCTTTTTAATTCTAATATGACTATTTTTCCATTTTAAATTTCTCATTTCTGCTAACATTCAATTTTTTGAAGTGTGTTAAACAACAATCAGTCGAGTTCTCACCAGCGATTGGCATGAAAGATATTTTGAATACCCCTTTCTTCCTTTAAGTGATGTTTGATGGATTTCTAATATTTGTGTACTAATCTTTTTGCCTTTGTCTGGTTTAATTTACTGATCTTTTTAACTTTTCCAGCACATCCATGGGTTCGAGAAGGAGGTGAAGCTTCCGAGATTCCATTAGATATATCTGTTCTAAACAACATGAGGCAGTTTGTGAAATACAGTCTATTGAAACAGTTTGCCCTACGGGTAACTCAGATATAATTTCCGTTGCTTGGCTGAAATTTGTTATGGCTTTAATGATGTAATAGTATGAATACAAGTAAATTAAGATCAGCTTTCTATTTCAGGCATTGGCTAGCACACTTGATGAGGAGGAGCTGTCTGATCTCCGAGATCAGTTTGATGCAATTGATGTGGATAAAAATGGCTCCATTAGTCTTGAGGAAATGAGACAGGTTGGTTTTTGTTGTATGGTTATGTATCTAAATAGCATGTTGGTCATTTATTTTCCTAGTTTGTAAGAGATGCTGGTAGGCCTGAACAAGAGTTATGCTACTTTTTTGTCAAATTAAAATGGGCAGACGTCTATGTACTTATTTGGCATTTTCTTGCTATGACACTGTTTAAGCGCAGGCACTTGCAAAAGATCTTCCTTGGAAAATGAAAGACTCGCGTGTTCTTGAAATTCTTCAGGCGGTATGTTTTGTCTCATTTGAGCAATGCATCATCATCTTCATTGTTGTTGTTTTCAGAATTTTAACAAGTAATTGACTGAACTCTGTACTTTATTTGGCTGATCAGATTGATAGCAATACCGATGGGCTTGTAGATTTCTCAGAGTTCGTTGCTGCTACTCTGCATGTTCATCAGTTGGAGGAACATAACTCGGAAAAGTGGCAGCAAAGGTCACAGGCTGCTTTTGAAAAATTCGATGTTGATAGAGATGGCTTTATAACCACAGAGGAGCTTAAAGTGGTATGTAGGGTGTCAAATTCCTCTTTTAGCGAATCATTAGTCTATATTCTTATTTACGGAAAACCAGCAATGAAAAATAAAAACTTAGATAGTTTACTAGATCAAGTAACAAAATCTTGAGATTGTTGATCAAGATTGATTTCCACTGTTTAGTTCATTTGACCATGTAATGTGCGAAGGAAAACTATTTCGAAGGTCAGTACGTAAAAGTGGCTTCTGCTTATACTGTGTTATGGTTGTGCAGCATACCTGCCTACGGGGTTCTATAGACCCTCTTCTAGAAGAAGCAGACATTGACAAAGACGGGAAGATAAGCTTATCAGAATTCCGGAGGCTTTTAAGAACTGCAAGCATGAGTGCACGAAACGTGACTAGCTCATCTGTAAATCGAGGTTAACTGGAAAATGTAGTTTTGAATAGTGGTGCTGTGCTGTGATAATAATGAATTCATGTCGAGTTCCTTTCTCAATGTGAATCGAATCTCATCTGCTCGTCTGTACTATGATATTTATATCCTTTCCAAATTGACAGATACCATGCATGTGTTGCTTTGGTTCTCTAGAGAGAGAGAGATTCGTTACTGACTATATTCTAAAAAATGTAAAGCATGGAAGTCGAGCTTTGGCCTGGGCGAAGAGAAGGATTTTTCATTTTAATATTATTTTAAATTTTTTAAAGAAATCTAAAAAATATTTAATAATTAAAGGAAAAAAGTGTTTTTTACTTTGAAAGATGTAAAAGCGAAAAAAAGTGCGCGATAGGCGCGTCTAGGTGTGGAAAACAATTAAAAAAATAAAAAAAAAAGTGAGAGAGCATGATGCGAGGCAATTTGATCCTGCTTGTGAGCCACCTAGGCAACATTGGTTGCTGGACAAGGTTGTATTATTGTACATGCATCCGGACTGTCATGGGCAAGACGGCAATGAAAAAACGATTTCAGAAAATTTCAAGTTAATTGTCTTTTCATTACTTGAAACATTTTTTTGCTTACTAGTGCTTGCATTCTGTCTACTCAGTGGTGAGTGCTGCTGAACAAGACAATACTCGACTTTCAGATTGCTTATTTGTTATATTGTTTGTCTATTATTGTTTACCTTTAACCCCTGTTTCAGACCTATTAATCAAAAACTCATTTCTTCTCAAACTTATTTTAAGTAGTACATTTTTTCAATAAAATAATTTGTATATAAAACTAGAAATTTTTCCTACTTTTTAACCATTCATTCTCCAAAAAATCACTATTACATTTTTTTTTTCAAATGGTGCTCAAACAAGGGTCTAATGTTTAGATGAGCCACAGGTACAAAACAACTGATTGAAGCTGTATTGAACTATGGTATGCTAGATTAGATAACCTTGTACACTATTTAACCATGGTCGTGTCATCTGAATGCTAACACTAATCTCTTGTGCAGTTATAATGATAAGACGAGATGTGAAAATGTGTTGGAGAAATCAAAAGAGATGATGGTGTCTGTAAGACCAGGAACACACTATATTAACGTTAAGAAACAAAGATAATATGCTCTCTCGGAAAATAATATGCAGAAAATAAAGAAAATAGAAGTGATTTCTTTCGGACTAAGCCTTGGAGGTTCGCAATGGCTTCTAACTCCTACATCCCCCGTTAAGCATCCATAGATTGGATTTGTGCCCGTTCCACTATATAGCCTAAATGGCAATAAATGTTATATAGAACATAAACTTGTCTTTCTAAATACAGCAATCAATCCACAAGATTCACAAAGAATCTCTTCAAAACCTCCAAAACAGCAACTTGAAAGAACACAAACTCTCTTACAGATTTTCACTCAAAATATCACTACACAGATACTAAATATTATAGATCGACTATCTCAAATCAGGAATTTGAGAGAAGAAATTGAAGAGAGAACCAAAAGCAGAGAAACCCTTCAAAACGTCACAAAAACGGGAGAAGAATGAAAACCCTAGACTGAATGCCAAATGAAAAGACACAAAAATTAGAAGTCTCCAAAAATAGATCCAACGGCCCAGATGCAACCACGTGTCTCAATCCGATTAAAAGGTGCATTTTTAATAAAGTTGCAACATCCAAAATACGACTTCAATACAAGTTATAGGAGCACTATTCAGACCAGGATTTGAATCCCACATTCTTCACCTCGCTACCGGAATTTGAGAATATAGTGTAGGCCTGGGCATAATCTCAATCACTTTTCATTTGCACTAAGTATATGTACATGCATTACAAAGCATCAACGGATAAAAGTTTCAAACAATTTACAAATTTATTCAAAGGAATCACTTTTATATCCATATCTAATGGATTAAGTTGAGTTGTAACTTTTCCAATTCTAAGAATTCCTTTAATAATGATGTCTCTTATAAAATGATATTTAACATCAATATGCTTCTATCATGAAACATAAGATTTTTGCTCAAATGGATAACACTTTGATTATCAGATAGCAGCATAGCATGATTATCAGCAAAACCAAGTTCAGACAATAAACCATTTAACCATATCCCCTCTTTTGCAACATCGGTAGCAGTAATATATTCTGCTTCTGTAGAAGAGAGAGCAAAATTTTTTTGAAGTTGTGATTTCCAACTAACAGTTGTACCACATAAGGTATAAAAATAGGATGAAGTTGATCTCCTATTATCTCTATTCCTAGAAAAATCAGAATCAATATATCCTTTTAAAGTTATACAATTTTTACTTGATTTAAAACATTAAACCTAAGTTAGGTATGCCTTTAAGATATCTTAATAACCATTTTAAAGCATTCCAATGTTCTTCCCCAGGGTTATTCATAAATCTGCTTAATATGCTAATACTAAATGCAAGATGAGGTCTGGTACAAATCATCAAATATATAACAGAACCAATAGCATTAGCATAAGGAGCTTAAGACATTCTAGCATATTCTTCTTCACTCTTTGGAAAATATTGAGAAGATATCTTAAAATGATTAGTAAGAGGTAATATTACAGGTTTACAGTCTTGCATGTTAACTTTTTTTCAAAACTTTAATTACATAATCACGTTGATTAAAAAATAACAAGTCTTTCTCTTTATTTCTCCAAATCTGCATGCCTAATATCTTTTTAACAGAATCAAGATCTTTCATTTCAAATTTAGACTTCAATTTCAATATAATATCATCAATTTCAGACTTATCACAACTGGCAACCAGCATGTCATCCACATAGAGAACAAGATACAAAGAATTTTTACCTCCATCAACTTTACAGTATAGACGGGTATCATACTGACTTCTTTTAAATCCAAGTTTTAGAACAAATGTATCAAATCTCTTATATCATTGCTTAGGAGCTTGTTTTAAACTATATAAGGATCTTTTTAATAGACAAACAGTTTTTTCAAGGTCTCCAATTTCAAAACCAACAAACTGCTTCATGTAAATCATTTCATCTAAATCACCATACAAAAAAGCAACATCCAATTGATCGAGTTTCCATTTAAATTGAGCAACAAGAGCAAACAAACATCTAACAGTAGTATATTTCACAACAGGAGAAAAAATTTCAGTGTAATCAACCATTTCTTTTTGAGTAAAACCTTTTGTAACAAGTCTAACTTTATATCTAATGTTTTTACCATCTAATTTCCCTTGTTAAACTTTATAGATCCACTTATAGTCAATCAGTTTCTGCCCTTTATGCCTTTTAACAAGTTCCCAAGTTTTTTTTTAAGTGAAGACATTTCATCTTCCATGGATACTTTCCAATTTTTACTTTCTTTACAATTAATGTCATCATCATAGGAGTTTGACTCATTTTTAAATTGTTCTTGATGAGTGAAAAAGAAACCAAAATCGCCACTGTCAAATCTAGTAGAGGGTCTTATCTGCCTCATCTCCTTATCTCTTGTAAGTTGATACTTATCATAATGGAGTGTAGTATGATCAGATTGGTCAGATTGATCAATTTCTTGATCATTTTCAATTTCGGTTCAAAACCAGCTTTATAGGTACAAGAGTCTCTCTTGCTCAATTTGAGGAGGCTCCACCTCAATTTGAACATTTTTATCAGTCAAAATATTTTCTTTTCCTTCTAAACATGACATCAAAGATTCATTGAAAACAACATCTTTTCTTACAATGACTCTATACTCTTGTCACATTTAACCCATAATCTGTAGCTTTTAACATTTTCATTATAACCCAAAAAAACACATTTATGTGACTAGGTTCTAATTTTTCAATGTTTTGATAAGTATATGCAGTACAACCAAACAACTTTAAATGAGAATAATTCATATAACCATCAGACCAAATAGATTCAAGTACTTCAGAATTTAAAACTTTAGTAGGAATTCTATTAATAAGATATGCAGCAGTTTTAACAACTTTATCCCAAAACAATTTAGGTAAACCAGAACTCAAAAGCATGCATCTAACTTTGTTCAGTGGAGTTATATTCATTCTTTCAGCCATTCCATTTTGTTGAGGAGTATAGGTGACAGTTTTATACCTCAAAATACCATGTTCTTTACAAAATTATTGAATACAAAATTCCAAATCATTGTCAGGCCGCAAAATCTTTATTTTGTGATGAGTTTGATTTTCAATTTAAATTTTCTAGTCTTTAAAAACAGAAAATGTTTCATCTTTATTTTTTAATAAGAAGACCTAAATTTTCCTTGAAAAATTATCAATGATCAGTAAAAAAATATTTGAAATTAGATAAAATGCACACAACAACAGGACTCCACAAATCAGCATGTAAATATTCCAATATTGGTTTGGATTTATGAATTCCAGTTGAAAAAAGGTAGTTTGTTTTGTTTTCCTATTATACACTGCTCACAAGAACCAAAATCACCAAGATTTAATTTTTCAAAAACTCCTTTTGATTGTAAAGAATTTAGACCCTTTTTGCCAATGTGGCCAACTCTATCATACCATAATTTTGTAAGTGTAAAGTTTCAGAAACAACAGAAGCAGTTAAGCCAAGTAGGGGTTTAGCTTTCAAAAAATAGAGACCATGTCTCTTCGGAGTGCTAATGATTAAATCATTGCTCCTAAGAATTTTAATATGTCCTTGACCCAAATTTATGTTAAACTCCATATCATCTAACATACCTAAGGACACCGGCTTCCTCTTCAAGTCAGGAACATACCTAGTTCCTTTAAGGAATAGAACATTACCATTTTCTAGTAACAACTTTATGGTACCTACCCCTCTGACTTACAAGTAAAGTTATTTCCCATTATAACTTGCCCTTCAGCTGTCTTTTCAAATTCAAGAAAACAGTTTTTATTTGGGCACATATGGAAAGAACAACATGATTCATCACTTAGTTGTTTTTCCATATTAACAAGGACCAGTCCAATATCAAACTTAGCTTTATTATATACTAAAGCATTACTCCCATCATTAAACTTC